ATGAAGTATAAGAAAACTAAAAATGGAAAAAAGAGAAAATCAGACTACAAGTGATAAATCCAGCTCAACCAAAGGCTATTGTGCAACAGTTAGATTGAAGTACAGAAAGCATATAACAAACAATTACAAAGTAACACCATGTTTGGGTAACAGTAACAGCAAAGCGAACAACTCAACAAGAACAAAATAAACAGAAATAAGAAAATCAGACACAGCAACACTGACAATATGACTTAGTTAATTTTAAGAAACCAAAGTTTCCTACAACTACTCAATATCTGTGGAAAAGACATTTATTGCGAGACTTTTTAGCAAGCTAGGGCACAACCATGCAAATCTGCAGTTATAACCAATCATCACGGCTCAAAGACTGCATGTTAACGGTACAATCTCATATTCCCTGTGTCACTTAAAAGTTAAAAGTAATAAGAACCTAACACCTAATGCAAGACAAGATTGCAGTGAAATTAGAATGCTTAACAGTACAATCCACATTGAAAATGACTGTATTAAGAAAGCACCAACTCAGTGTATTAACATATCTTATTTTTATTTGGTTTCCTTTTTATTTGAATGAGAATGGTTAAATGACATGGTCATGCCAGCAAGAGCGTTATTTAAAGGTAAGCTGTAGGCCTGGCCAGAAACAATAACATGTTCCAGTTTTCATGAATCAGTTATGAATTAGTATCATACCCAGGAAATTCTTGGTAACGTCTGAAAATTTAGCTTGGGTAGAAATCTCCTTAACAGCCTTGACCCTAGTATCAGCAGGTACTGACAAATCCTTTGCAAACTGAGAAAATGTTGGACTTTTCTTTAAAGACTCAACAAGGTCAAGTATTTCAGACTCAACCTTGTCCAGAGAATTTGACTTTACTGCTGCAAGGTACAATGCGGAGGCATAGTTTCCAGATCCCCCAAACAAAACCAGAGGCACCTAAAATTTATGAAAATAAGAAATAAGAAACACAAACAACACCAACCACTTTCCATTACATTACATACAAAAACCATATGCAAAATAAGTTGAGGCACTGTTTATATTTTAAAACTAGAGCTTCATATTGGTGAATACAAAAGAACCATATCAACAAATTATAAAAGACTGAAGCTGAGTATATTATCATTGCATTGCAATTGCATAATTTAATTTAACAGCGATTTCTATGTAAAAAAAAAAAGACTTTCTCAGGATGAAATAACCAAAGAAGAATGATATAATTGAGAAACTTAGATTGGAAAAACAAGGAATGCAGGTAGGTACCTTAACTTTGTCTTCTTTTTTTGTGGGAGCAGTAGCATAATTCTTGGAGATCTACACAATAAGACGAAACAGGAAGTTAATGCAATTTTGGACTCTGTATTGTTAATGCTTACGAACAGGTCAAACTATCCTTACTAAAACCCTAGTTATTTGGTTTGGAATTTGGTTAAGTCAAAGATACATAGCACACAATCGTCGTCCTCGTCCTCCTCCTCCATTTTTGCTCAATAACGGAATAGAATAGAGAAAGATTCGAAAACCCTAAGTAGATTCGATTTTGTATGTGAGATTAGCGGTGGCGGGTTACCTGTGGGGAAAGGAGGGTTGGTCGAATGATGGATCCATGAGTGGAGATTGAATCAGATCTCAAAATCTTGTTCAGGAGAGGAAGAGTCGATCTGATACGTCCTGCCATCGCCATTTCTCCGCAGAAAGATAATCAATTTCACCGCAGCAAAAGAAGAAACAGAGGAGACGGAACGGAGTTTTTTTCGAGGGTTTGGCTCTGTGTGTGTGTGTGTGACCTGTGAGTTTGTGATCCTAGCGGGTTACCGGCCTGGTTGTTGGGATTATATCTGCTATATCGCACGTCTATATTATTATGGAGAGACTGCAAGATTCTTTGGACGCGTGTTTTAACTGATAAAAAAAAAAGGGAAAAATTTTAGTGCAGCCCCCATTCTTTACCTTACCTGAACCAAATTCTTTACTTTTTCTTATTTGATTGCAATTGAGTCCCTAGGATTTAGGGGTGGTAATTTGCCCCAACCCCCGTAGGACTCCATGGGAACGAGGCGGGGAGAAATATTTCTCTAGAGGTAGGGACAATGGGCATTTTCTCTCGCAAAATTTTGTGGGGAATTTTTTTCGTCCCGTAGAAATCTCATTCCCTCAAAAAATTAAAAAAAAAAAATTAATTTTATTTTAAATTTAATTCAACCTTTAAATCCAAATCCAATCAAGTAAAAATTAAACTTAACTCGATTTTACCCAACCCATTATTAATCATTTAACCCTAACCTTACTTACTCATCTCATCACTCTAACCTGTTGCTCTTACTCAACACTCATTCTTTCAATCTTTCACCACTTCTAGTTTCTCAAAATCTCACTTTCACCTTTGCTTTTCTCCCAACCTAGTAACCCTAAATCCCTCCATTGTCACCTACTAATCTATTGGAGCTACTGCCAGAGCCAGACTACGTACTGCTGTTGAAGTGGATTGCTACCAGGCTACACTACTGTTGTTAAATCCATCTGGACTGCTGCTATCGAAGCCATCTGTCATTTTAAAGCCATCTACTAGGCTAAATTCGTTCTACTTGTTGATTTGATTGTTAAATTCGTCTCTCCATTGCAAAATCCATTGCTGAATTCTCTATGGTAATATTATATTTGAAGTAGATTTATTGGCATGAATGATTCTATTCCCTTTTTTTTTCTTTTTTCTTTTTTGGCTTGGATTTGTTAAATGTTAATCTTTGATTAATCTTATATTCAAGTGAATTTTTTTATGCAAAAATTGATATTTTCCGTCCATAGACATGGTTTCCTCTTAAATCTCCTAGTCAACTCTAGCCTCTCTAATTTCTTCTTGATTATGTAAAGGAATAACTATTTTTTATAAATTTGCTCTTATGTTGAATTGATCTTTATTTATATTTAGACAATTTATATATAATTTTATATTTATAGAATTTTAGTTAATTGTACTCAAATTTTTAAAATTTTGTTTATTGTAATTGAATATTTGTTAATTATATATATAAACAGGGTAAAACACTACCCATTTCATAGTATTTGGGAGCTGCCCTTCCATGACTCCTATCAAAATCCTACAAAAACCC